CTCGTGAGTGCATGCGTGTGTGTGTGTGTGTGTGTGTGTGTGTGTGTGTGTGTGGCAAAGAATATTTCCATATAACATGGAACGCAGGCACAGGAGAGGGAACAGAGACAGCAAAGGGGTAGGGGAAGGAGGGGCACCAATCCCAATGAAGGGCACATACACCCCACCAGGCAGGAGGAAGAACAATACAAGCCAGAGGGGAAGGGAGACAGTGGTCGGTTTGAGATTTGAAAATAATTAACAATCTACAATCTATTAGGGGGCCACGAGGGTTGGGGGGGGGGTGGACAAAAAGAGGAGCTGACCCCAAGGGCTCAATGGAAAGTAAATGTCTAGAAAAGAACGATGGAATATCTGTACGAATATGTCAGATACAATTGATGTATCGTTTGGAACAAGAGTTGTAAGAGCCCCCAATAAAATGATTTATATAAAAAAAGAAAAGAATATTTCCATATATGTTTATATGTGCTGCAAATGGATTGTCTACAGTAGGGCAAAGTTATCAAAACTTGTTTAGTTTTAAAAGCACCCCACTCCCCCCCCAAAAAAAAAAAACACACAAAACTACAACTTGAGGGAAGGAGTTCCTAGGTTTGGGGTTTTAGGGTCATAGACTAGAGGGGCATCTAGGTCAACTGGCATAATCCACAGGGGATGTTCGACATCCTGCTTGGGTGACTAGCAAGAAGGGTAGCAAAGCTTATGGACAGACATCTAAGGTACAAACAGTGGTCCCTCCCTGTCTGGAGCAAAGAGGAGCGAAGAAGGTCAAAGACATAAGAAGGCAATTAGTCCACAGCAATCTCAGTCTCTACTACCCTAAGGGCAGAAGAACCAGATGGTGCCTGGCTTCCACTGCCGACAGCTCAACCGCTAGGGCTGGAAAGTCCTAGATTAAGGTGACCAGATTTAAAGCGGGACACCATTGACCAGGGCATGGGGGTGGGGGTGGGGGGTGGGGTGGAGGGGTGGTTCTTGATTAAAATTTGGTCTATATGGACCAAATAGCCCATTCCCTAGTTTGTCGTGCATTCTTTCCAAAAATCTAGCAAGACTTTTTAAAACACCCAAAAGCGGGACCTCTGGTCACCTTATCCTAGATACAACGAGAAAACACTGCGACAAAATTCACAATCACAGAAAAGACCAGGTTTGGTGGTCTGATAGACAATTCGAAGATGTAATATCATGAGTTTTCTCCTAACACTTACTGAATATCATCTTAAATTCTAACGGGCACTTCATTTAACTTTGTGGTCTGACATGAAACAAAAGTATTGTGACACAAGATAATCATCATATTCAAAGCTGTGAGGTGTTTGGTTAATATCTCACTCCAAACAGTCAAGGGACCTTGATGGCACTGAGGCTTCAGCACTGGGCTGCTAGCCACAAGGTTGGGGATTCAAACCCACCAGACACCCTGTGGGAGAAAGCTGAAGCTGTCTGCTGCTGTGACAATGTACAGTCTAGGGAGCACCTGCACTTTGCTGTGGACAGTAGCTATGAATCAGAACTGACGCAACGTTGGTGGAAAGAAGACACCAAACAGCCACTGTCTTTAGACCCAGAGAATGGGACACACATTTTTAAACAATATTGAAATGGGATTTATAGTGATCAATCCAAACCAAAAACTCATCACCATGGAGTCCAGTCCAACTCTATGGGGCAGGGTAGAACTGCCCTGTGGCTTGTCCCAGCCTGTCCCTCTCTACGGGAGTAGCAAGTCTCACCTTTGTCCCTTGGGGGAACTGGTGGAGTTAAACTGCTGGCCTTGTAGTTAGTTAGCAACCCAATGCGCAGCCCAGGATGCGACCAGGGCTCCTACAGTGATAGATAAAACTCAGGATATTATCTCTTGTCAGCAGGTTCTACAGGCTGCAATAAAAACCTTAAAATAAGTGTAACACTTAATCATTAAAGTATTTTCCAAAGGTCATCAAAAACTAAGAAAAAATACTTGAACTACCAATTTACTCAACATCTGTTACTATTTCAACGACACTCACTAGAATTCATACTCAGAAAAGCCATTTCAGTTTCCTAAGACTCGGAAAAGTCTTGGAAATAACACATTTTCACATTACCTAGTTGCTGGCGTTGGCATCTGCCACAAGTGGGATGAGAGACACTGAGTCCATCCTGCTGGCCTAGCATCTCCTCAGAAGGGAGCAAACGAAGACATCTCATCTTCAGTAAGCGTGGGGAAGCAGTGTCCTGAATGCCATCGCCAGGATCCAAAGCCACGTCTCCAGAGCGAATGGGAGGGACAACTCGCTTGAAAAAGCCCATGTCCCCGATCTTCGACATGACTAGGCCTCCTAGCACACACAAAGTGCCCGTGCCGCCCTCCTGCAGGAGCCCCTGAGCTACGTTCTGTGGCAGAGAGCAAAGAAACGGCATTGGCAGTTAGGCGGTGCCCAACACCCGAAGGTCAACTGCCAGCTGTTTCAAAGCTGATTTTTAGGGCATTTACTGTTCAAGCTGATAACGATGCAAACAGCTTTTAGACCAAGAAACTACACGGGCGTATTTACATAGACACGTTCATGTGCGAAGGGTGTTCACGGCAATAGAGAGGCCATAAAATGTTTAACGTCCATTCCGTTTCACATCTAGACTTTGCAAACCAGACGGTGGTAAAAACAAAGTTACTTTGGTCTGCGGGGGGTGTCTTGCTTTTCCATAAACTCCCAGCTTATGTGAGACACCATGACCTTGTATGGAGAGGGCAATTCTGAGCATTTTGAAAATTCCAGTGAATCTCAGGATCAGCATCTATTTTCTTTTTAATCATTTTATTGGGGGCTCTTACAGCTCGTATCGTAATCCATACATACATCCATTATGGCAAGCACATTTGTACATTTGTTGCTGTCATCATTCTCAAAATAGTTTCTTTCTCCTTGAGCCCTTAATATCAGCTCCTCATTTCCACACGCCCCCCATTCTGTTTTCTAAGACATGAAAATGAGTCATTTAGCACTCTCTTATACTGCATTCTGAACATTCCAATGTACTTTTAAAGGGGGTGGGGGAAGAAAAGCTCCTTAATTACCATCTCATAATTATCAATAGTAGCAGCAGAAACCCTTGCATGAATAACCGCCCCCAAAATTGATGATTTAAAACCTATAAATCTAAGAATAGAAAGGTGAAGAATTTAAAGTACAAATATTTAATTCAATGAATTCAGTAATCAACATTACGTAGGCTATTTCCAAAGTAGTAGCTGTGCACTCTGCTAAATATTTATAAACAGAAACAAAGCAGCACTGAAAAAGTAGCCAAATGACTGTCTTAAAGAAGTCCAAAACATTTCAAAATAGTCCAGTGACCGGGTACCTACATTAAGACTGCAAATTTTGAAAGTATTCATTCTTTCCTCGCTTGCTCTGCCTGCCCTCTGGTGGGGGTACTAACTCAAACAGGCAGGAAGGAAATAGTAAGGAATCTACTCTCTATGCAATCCTATCTTTTATTTGCAATCAAATGAATTTCAATGATCAAAAAGATGACATACGATTCAAAGTCATGAAACCCATGCACAATTTCACTCTTCCAATAGTCAATACAAAGCCAATGGGGGGAGTACCTTTCAGAAGACGAAGATGTAAGGAAAAATTGTTACTGTGGAAAAAAAGAGCAAGGCACCTGGTTCTGAATGACTGAGTTTTACTCCTTCTTCAACCATATTACTTACTAAGTCAATTATTCTTTATTATATTCTCATAAAAGGCATTACTTGAAGGTCTTCTACATGTTAACACATTATATATATATAACATTACAGGAAGTTCAGAGAAATTTTATATAGTTTAATAATAATGCAAATCCTGTCTCAGAGAATCCTACCGAGACAAACAGGGTTAAAGAGAGAGAGAAGATCGAAGATTTCAATGTATTGCCCTAAAAGAGAGAACTGTGCCTAGATAATGCTTCTAAGAAACAGATTCTTTCTATACTGTTGACTCTCACCGGACTGACCCTCCTGTCTGATGGGCCTGTCCCCTCCCCACCCCCACTGCCCAAACAGAACAATCAATAACTAACTGGTTAGACGTTATGTCTGAAATTCATCCCCACGTCTCCTGGCTGTTGTCCTGTTTTGTTTGTCTCTTGACAGATATGATCTCATTTCTTGACATCTTATATTTACGGTTTTCCTTGTGTCCCTTCTGGGTCTTCATTATCTATGGAGCCCAGAAACACTGGTTATCTAACACAGCCAGAGCTGCTTCTTGTTCGTTCCTATACACGCTACAGCCTCTCTTGGCTAAACCACACCTGACAAAAGAAATTATGTTCAACGGGGGGTGGGGGTGGGGGGATGGATGAGGGACTTGGGGTTAAAAGGGGGGGGCGGGGCAGAGAATTTGTCGGTGTTACAAGGGTTTTTCTCAGGTTTCCAGCATTCGGCAAACGTTTGCTGGCCAGCTTCTAATATGATACAATCTGAGCAAGAGGCAGGGGCAAGGACCACAGGTTCTGGCCCTCGTAAGTCAGTCCTTAGGAAAGCAACTGTCCCAACTACAATTCCCCCGCCTATAGGTTTGAGTCAAGGCTTTGTGGAGCCTGTGTTTCAGGTCAACTTCCTCTACGCTGTCTGCTTCCTTCCCCCTCTTTTTATAAGCGTCGATCCCTAATAAACATCCTGCAAGCTAAATTCCCTTTCAGCTTCCAGAAGCATCCGCTTCCAGAAAGAAGACCCACCCAGAGACAGACGGCAAGGGAGAAGCAATGGCATTCCAGCGCACAGCCATTACGAGCGGAGCCCAGGCAAAAAATACCATGCACTCTTGTTAGTGAGTTGATATCTGGGGCCTCTGATGTTTCTGAGCTCCCTGCTCCGTCATCACCATCCTGAGCACCAGCTTCACAGCTACAAGATCCAGACAATGTGACAGAAGCTGCCTGCCACCACCGCTCATTGAAAAAAAATCTTTATGTCTCAGTTACTGTTTCCCCGTTGGGAGAATGTGCTGTCATCTCACCGTATCCCCCACGCCAGGCCTTTCTTAGTGGTACCCCGGCTCATCTAATCTTGGCTGTGCGCCTCTTGAACAGTTGGGAGACTTGAGCATTTAGGTGTTAATCATCCAAGGTTCAAATCAATGGCTTCAGCTCTGGAGGGAGACAAAAGGCACCAGAATATGTTAGTTCTGTTTTTAATAACGACATTTATGTATTACCCATATCTAGTTTCGCATGAGCACTGTTGTTGTTTGTTGTTGGGGGTGGGGGGACAGTGCCTTCAAAAAGTTTGTGGAAAATACAATTCCGAGAAGGGAATTCTTCCATGAACTTGTGGCAACCCCCTCATAGACCAATCCCACCTGCTGCTGCAGTTATTCTATTTTAATAACAGAGCCTTTCATTTCCTTTAGCTTTTTATTATGGACAACTTCAAAGACATATCAAATGATTGAGAAAACCACAGTAGACCTCCTTGATGCCAGCACTGGCAAACAATTCACGGCAGAGCACACTTCATTTATGCTTCGCACCCTCGCACCTTATGCTTAAATAAATCCCAGCTATCACATCATTGCATCCAGAGACATTTTGATATGTATCTAAGACAAGAATTCTCCTTTAAGCATAAGCCACTACCATTATAAAACTGCAATAAATTAATAATAATTTCCTTATAACATCAACAACCAACCAGTGCTCCAAACCTCCCAAATGTCTCATAAAATGTGTTTTAATAATCTGTTCTCATTTGGACCAAAATTACCAACAAAATCTACAAATGCAATCATCACTGATGTCTCTTAAATTACCTTTAATTCCCAGAGTGCTCCCTCCCTTTATGTTCTGTTACAGTGTTAAGAAATGATCTCCCCATCCACTGCTCGAACTGGCCTTGGCTAACTGGAGTACACATGTAAGGCACTTAGGTTTTACTTCCTAAAAACTCATCTGTAAAACAGCGCAAAGACAACCGCTAGACCAAGGTCTATCCCTCCTGAAAATGATGTTTGAAATTCAGTTTCCCAATTGCTCTTACAGTCATTTTGAAGAACTCGTGGCGAGTGAGTGACACAGCGTGGGTCACGAGAAGTGAAATCAGAGTCCTCGGGGGCATGGTTAAGCCCCCAGCCGCTAACCAAACGGCGGGGTTCGAACTTCTAGAGAAGACCCAGCCATCTGCTCCCGTAACAACTACGGCCTAGGGAACCCTGGGTGGACTTCCACGATATCGGGCAGCATTGCTGTAAGTCGGGACAGACTAGCCAGCACATAATACAACACAAGTAAACCTCAGGCACTCTCGTAGCGCAAGAGCGAAGAGTTAGAAGATTACAAATGGTCCAGAATAGCAACCCACCATCCGTGGCAAGGAAAACGTGGCAATGTGCTCCTGTAAAGATCATTCATAAATGAAAGCAAAACTTGTGGTCTGAGTGAGTCAACAGGTTGGAGCTGATCAGCCCTACAGGCTATAATTTCTACCCAAACAGACTTTCTCCGGAGGAGTTGGGTGGTGAGGTCCAACTGTTGACCTTTGGGTCAGGAGCCAGGTGCTTCACCAATGCACACCCAGAGCTCCTTCCAGAAAAGCCTGCTGCCTAGAGAACCCAACCAGGCAGCCTTGCTCTGTCACGCAGGGTCAGTATGAGTCTCAACCGGGTGGACTTAATGGCACACAACAGCCAGCAATACAACCAGGGTGTGGTCCTATTACTAAACAGAAGGACCCATCTAATCATGCACCTGCTGTGTTTTATGACCACTAAGCCTCCTGGTAGAGCTACCTGGACAACCAGCTGCAAGAGTTCTAAGCTTGGGCCCATTCCAAAGACAGGTGATCCAGAAAATACTAAGTAATAGCATTAACTTCATATACACAGTACAAGATATAGATAGAGATAGATAGAGAGAGATGGAGATAGATATATAGATAGAGATAGAGATAAAGATAGATAGAGATAGAGAGAGAGATATAGATGTAGATTAAATTGCAGCAGCACGTCCACAGGAAACTGCCAGGAATTCTAATGGAATTCAGAAAGGTACACGAAACAAGATGGATCATGACTCAAAGCAAAGAGTAGCAGAAAGGGGGTTACCTCTGTTTTGTGGACTACACAAAGGAAATAAGAGATTGTGTGGATCATAACAAGTAATAGTTAAGACCATGAAGAATGGGAATTCCAGAACACTCAACTGTGCTTGTGCAGGAACCTATACGTAGATAGAACAAGAAACAGTGCGTGATTTAAAATCAGCAAAGGTATGCATGAGGATTGTAGCTTTTCACGGAACTTATTCAATCTGTACACAAAGAAAATAAACCACGCAGCTGGGCTATATGAAGAAGAACTTGGCACCCGGACTGAAGGAAGGTGTTTAAACAATCTGCAGTATACTGTACAGATGATACAGCCTGGTCTGCAAGCAGGGCTGAGAAGAGGAGCTGAGCACAAAAGAACAGTATCCACAGTGTTTTCATGCTGACTTGTAACTTGTCACATTCCCTTATAAGTCACGTAAGATTGTCTGTGAGTTTTGTGTGGCCACTTAACGGACTCCAGCAAAAAAGCAGAATGCTGTGGAAGGGACCGTGGGTATCAGAGTAAGGAAGGGGGAAGCATGTCTAACCTTGGCCTTGTGGGAATTGACCTAGGGCTGGTGTAGAGTGGGATTTTTCTCCTCCTTAGTAAATGTGGGAGGGCAGAGGTGGCACTCATTCCGTTTCTCACCAACCTATCCGAAAGGGCTAAAATACTCTGTGAAACATGATTTGGGACTTATTAAACCTTGTAAATTAAAATCCTTCAACCAAATGAGAAAACTATAATCATATCCCAGTTTCTGTCAAGTATAACCAACTAAAGTCAAATCTTCAAAGCCAAAATGAAGTTACATGCACTTGTTCACAATCAGTATCATTCACACTTAGCAGAATATTTGCTTCAAGTATTTCTAAATCTGATCATAGTTAGCAATGGCATATCTACAATTCTATCATAATTCCTGACACTGACACTCTATTTTACTTAGGTTCACAGTAGTGCTACCCTCTCAAACCAAATAAAGCTTATGTGAAAAATAACATATCAAATCTTGTAGACCGTGGGTAATGAAGACATGCATTAGCCTATAATGAATGAAATTTTAGCTATGCATTTTTCACATTTCCTACTTGGATGAGTGAAAGGCCAATTACGAAAAGGTTGCTTCACAAAGTAATGGAGTCACAGCGCTCCATTGTACCACCATCAAATCCATTCTGACTCAATAGCAACCCTATAGAACAGGGTAGAGCTGCCCCTTTATCCATTACCAGAATAGAGAGCCTCATCTTCCTCCCCTGGAGCGGCTGGTGGTTTGGAACTGCTGACCTTGTGGTTAGCAGCCCAAGGCACAACCACGACATCACCAGGGCTCCCAGTCATTGCACAGGTTATTAAAAATGATACAGAAAAGGTTGCCCACTGGGTTAAAGAAAAAATGAGGGTAACTTACTTCAAGGATCCTGACTTCAGACTCTGAATGTTACATCAGAATGTATCCTACACTTTTACTTAAACAATAGAATGCCCATTGACCTAGAAATTCATCGTATTTCAATGAAAGAGGAAAAAAACCACAGTCAGATAAGGAATCCACAGGGGATCCAAATCTTGTCCTTATATTCAAATTGTTCTGGGAATCTTGCAATCACCTCTCAAGATCAAAATGATACAAAGGCTATGCATATTTTACTTGTTGCTGCTGCTGCTAGGAATACATGCAGTTTCTCCGCATGCGAGTGTCTACATGTACAACCCAACGGTTTCTGCCTGTGCACGTCAGGGACGTTGATGATGGCCTTGGAGTTGTGCAGCCACTCTCCTCCTGATTCTCCTGAGCTGTGCCTCCCTGATTAACCTGAACTCACTCCCCTCCCCCAGCTCCCCATCTCATATTCTGAGCTACTCATTGTCATTTCCAATCAATCAAATCATTATTCAAATGTATGCACCAACCACAAAAGCTAGTGAATAAGAAAGTATAGAATTCTACCATGGACCTCTGCTGGAAATTGATCACACATACAATCAAGGTGCACTGATAATTATTCAAAATTGGATTCAAAGGCTGGAAACAGAGGAAAGAATAGTCGTTGTAAAATAGAAACTTCATGATAGAAACGAAGTTGGAGATTGCAAGATAGAATTTTGCAAAACCAATGATTTGTTCATAGTAAATGCCTTTTTAAAACAACACAAAAGGTGAAAATACATATGGAATTCTCCAGAATACACAGAAATCAAATTGACTACCTCTAGGGGAAGACATGATGGAGAAGTTCAATATTAGCAGCTAAAAGCAGGGCAGGGACTGGCTGTGGAACAGACCACTAAAGCATATCCATATGAATTTCTAGACGATCTCATGAACAGATTTGATGCACTGGACATTATTGACAGAGGACCTGTAAGCGGGCATCCTAGAGAAAGCAGATCATTAAGAAGAAAGAAAAGATCAAAGTGGATGTCAGAAAAGATTCTGAAACTTGCTCTTAATTGTAAAGTAGCAAAGGCAAATGGAAGAAAAGATGAAGTGAAAGAGCTGAATCGAAAATTTCAAAGGGCAGCTAGAGAAGGCAAATGTTATCATGAAATCTGCAAAGATCTAGAATTAGAAAATCAAAAGGGAAGAACACAACATGCTCAGCACCTTAAACTGAAAGAACTCAAGAAAAAGTCAAGCCTCGAGTTGCAAACCTGAAAGATTCTACGGGCAGACTATTGAATGACGCAGGAAGCATCAGGGAAGATGGAAAGAATGCACAGAGTCAGAGCTAATCAACAGTCCACCATTTCAGGAGGTAGCATAATGTGCAAGTCAATGATGCGAAGAAATTTCAAGCTGCACTGAATGCGTTAGGCAAAAACAAGGGTCAAGGAATGGATGGAATACCAACTGAAATGTCTCAACAAGCTGATGAAGCCCTGTAAGTACTCATTCATCTATGCCAGGAAAATTGGAAGACAACTATTTGGCCAACTGACTGGAAGACATCCATATTTGTGCCCAATGCAAAGAAAGGTGACCCAACACAATGTTCAAACTATAGAATGGTATCATAGATATCACCTACAAGTAAATTTTTGCTAAAAACCATCCAAAA